AACCAATCAAGTAAGGTAAGCCATCAATGCTATATATCATTATGTCTCCCATATGCTGCAGTCCCAGCACTTTGTCTGCCAATGCCAATACTATATTCTACTTTTGACCGAAAGCAACTTTGCTTTTGAGACAATAGTCAACAGAGCCTTCCATTTGAATCTTATTCACAAAATAAAAACACAAAACCTAGAAGCAACACAATCCTTAAAACATGCTATCAAATGTTGTGCGGAAGCGTCAACCAATTTCGAGTGAAAAATTAACAACTGGCAGGAGATAAAATAATGAACACAAAACAACACCAACAAGAACACCAAGATTTATACTGGTTCGGCAATGCCTACATCCAGTTTGGAGACGACGGAGTATTCCACTATAATCAAATGAGAGAATACAATAGTGTTTAACACTCAGAAACCCAAGCCCCAAATATACCCAAGCTCACACACTCAAGAATATATAAGGAGAATACAAATTGAGAATAAATTTAGAGAAAAGAAAAACAACTCTTTATTTTTCTTTCTCTCTGCCGGCTACTCTCTCTGCAGCTCTTCTGCTCTCTCTGCTTCAGCTGCTGCATGCTTCTCATTTATAGCCAAGGAAGTTGGCTCTTCAAACAAACCAAAAGGCCAAAGGCCAACCAATCAAGTAAGGTAAGCCATCAATGCTATATATCATTATGTCTCCCATATGCTGCTGTCCCAGCACTTTGTTTGCCAATGCCAATACTATATTCTACTTTTGACCGAAAGCAACTTTGCTTTTGAGACAATAGTCAACAGAGCCTTCCATTTGAATCTTATTCACAAAATAAAAACACAAAACCTAGAAGCAACACAATCCTTAAAACATGCTATCAAATGCTTTTATGAAGAAAAAAAAAATTATAATAGTATGGAAACATTGAGTGCAATACACTTGAATAATGCTCCTCCTCATATGCGCCAGATGTTGAAGAAGAGCCAGACATTGTTTAGAAGCCATGAGGACCATGCTTTGCTTTATTATAAATTCCAGAAACCCACCGAGCAATTCTCATACAATACTGTTCCATGAGGTGCTTCAACAAAACTAACCGGCGGCAGAAATTAGGAAGAGAATGACGCTGCAGAAGCTCAAATACCTCCACACTGAACATATTATCTCAATTTATTTGGCCAAATGATGTAGCTGTAAATACTTTCTCACCAGAGTATCTGTGCTATTTTAAGGCTAGTTTCTATCAATTTGCTTCTTCCAATCCCAGGACACCTAAGTTCATATCAAAAGGGCACGAATTCCCTTGATGGTCAAGTCAGAAATAAGGATAACTATTAATATTTGCAATGGCTTTTTCCAATTTTCCATAGATAATGAGTATTCTAAGGGCTCGTTTGGAAGTGCTTCTGGAAGGGCTAAAAGTGCTTTCTAACAACCAAAAGCGCTTTTGACGGCGTTTGGCAGAAAGCACCTGCCACCCAAGTGTTTTTTCAAGAAGCATTTCGATTTTTTATGAAATTTTCAACAACTTTATAATAAAAACGCTTTTGTTAGAAGCACTTATAAGCATAAGTGCTTCCTAGAGAAGCAGTCCCAAACGAGACATTTTCCTATTACCAGAAGTTGTCTACTAATTCTGAGGGGTTGCCACAATCCATACAAGTGAACTCTAATGAATATAGAGCAAATTGCTCATGGCTGCACTGAATTTTTTAGTTAAACCACCAGCACCCCCACTTAGAAATGCCTATGTTACTGCAGAAAGCACCAACGACTAGGCTAGGCCTCTAGGCATGCAACTTAGCTTTGAGTTTGCTGCTATGTACTATAGTATAACAAAATAACAATCTATCATAACTTGCAAATTAAACGAAGTTCAATTGATATTCCTAATATAACCGATAATGTTATAGGAGAACAAAATACATGATGCTATCAATGTCACAAAAAGGCTAGAACAAGAGCAGAGGACAACGTTGTAATACAACCACAATGAAGACTAATTTTAAGAAACCGCTAAACATTACATCTACTTCTTTAGGACACTTCTCTCATCACTTGAAACATTTGGCATCCAACAAAGCCTCCCCCTCAAAAGGCTCCTGATCTTCAATCATCTGATTGACACGCTCCTTTTGATCCTCATCAGTGATGTCAACCTTATGCCAGTCGTACAATTCCATGTCATAACACTCGTCAATTATGAATTTTGGAATTTCTTGTCCCCGGAAGAGCCACAAGCCCTTAACCTTAAATGGAGGCTCAGAGCCAATCACCAACATCTTCCCAAATGCATACTTACGAGCCAAATCCATCCGCTGCAGGAAACCACCCACCTTGTTCAAAGTCACAAATGATACAGTATTTTCATCATTGTACTTGTAATCGCAGAACCAAAGAGAGTAACCCTCTGGATCGTACATGTCCCAGAATCCTGCAAACAGAAGTGACAGGTGAAAAAAAATATATATATACAACGTTCTCTTAAATCTTTCATTAAAGAAAATCCTTGCCCCTCAAATGAGTTCTTAACAAGAGGAGCAATCACGGAAAGTCCTAAGAACTGAATGTCTAGAGGTAGTTAAATCGCAAGATTCCAGGTGATTCTCATCCAGAAAAAAACTTAAATGTTCTCTGATGGTATTTACAACTGCAGTCTGCTGCATTAGTGCATTCTTAATTATCCACCTTTCATACCTGTATTAACAGATACAAAATAACGCATGGCTTGCCTAGTAAACAGAGAGAGAAGAGAGAGAATGTATAGGGAAAACAGTGGCTAATGATGATCCTTGATATAATATACAGTCATTTGAAACCAGGATAAATTATACTGTTCCTCGATATAGTTTAGACTGGATTCCACTTTGATCCTCTAGTAAATAGTTGCTAATGTTGGTAAAAAAGAAATAGACAAAAATAGAAACAAACTTCATTTCGAAGAATGCAAAAAAACAATACTACATACTGACTGGCAAGCAAAACCACATGCGAACTATGCAGGTTTATGACAAATTAAAAACAAGACTATCACTTGTACTAAAAAATACAAGATGTGGTTAATGCATAGATATAGGAAAGTTATAAGAAATCACCTTTAACAGCAACCTCACGGAAGTTGGTCTTTGTGTTTGAATAAAGCCTTTTCCATTCATCCAGAATCATCTTGCTAGGCGGCAAAAGATCAAGAGGATTCTTTGCCCTGGGCTTGGGTGCCTCTTCTTCAGCAACAGCCTCTTCTAATTTAGGCTTTGCTGGTTCTTTCTTGGCCTCTTTCTTTGGTTCATCCTTAGGTTTTGTGGGTTCCTTTGCCTGTGAAGGCTTCTTTGCTGACTGAATAGATGGAACAGATTCTGCTTGTTTAACTTCGCCCAATATCTTGCGAAAATTTGGCTGATTAACTAAGGTCCAAAAGTATCTCTCAACATGGGGAAATTCAGAGGTAAATTTTTTTGTCAATACCCGGCTAAATCCCAGAGTCAAATTACATGCCATAATGATATCAGCCAATGTCACAGAATGCCCGACCAGGTACGTGTTGGAAGAAAGATGAGTATTCAAAGCAGTTAGCGCTCTCTTCAATGCAGAAATTGCAGCTTCCTCAGCCTTTGTGCCAATAAAAAAAATTGGGTCAATTACTTTAATATACCCATGTAGATACATAAAAGTAACAGTGGTATATAACTGTATGAAAAAACTAAATGCAGTAATGCCTAACCGGAGGAAGGTAAACAGCAAAACCGATACGTGGTATTAACCATCGCAAAATATTGGCGTCAATCTCCATAGTGGCAAAATCAATCCATTGCTCCACATGAGCCTGTCAAAACCAACAATATAACAGCAAAAATCGTCAGTACCTCAGCGGAATGTGGAATGCAAACCATGTTCACATTCTAATGAAGATCATATCAGTAAATATCTCAAATGGATGTTCTAAAGCTTTTTAATTCATGCAACCTAAGCCTATAATCATAATAATTTACCCAATTATAAATCCAAAGTCACCTCACTATGAGTACCAGTAGATTTTTAACATTCATTAACCAAACAACATGTTACTCTGACCATATAAGCCAAGGGGGAATTCAGAATTGAATAAATGGAAGCTTTAAAGGACACATATTTAATAAATGGGGGAGGTGTACAAGTGCAAGACAGCCATCACATCACTTACATATTCAATTAAGGAAGAACCAAAAAGAGGATTATCTGCCTTCAACCGAGTAACTGCAGCAAATGAAAGCATACAATTAGATTTAAACATAACAACATTTCTAGATATAAATTAAGAAGCTTAAAATCTAGCCTCACCATAGCGTGCAATGGCATTACTCTCAAAAACAGGGCCATCAGGTGTTTCTAACACAGGAACCTACACAACAAAAAACCAAACAAATCATACCAAATATACTTTAACAAATAGAATTTGTCTACATAAAAAAGAAATAAAGCCCACCTTCCCGATGGGGTTCATTTCAAGAAACTTGGGACTTTTGTTGGACACACCCATCTCAAAATTCTTCACCAGTTCAACTTTGACACCAGTGTACTCGGCAGCAATAAGTGCCTTGAAACCATTTTTATTAGTGTTCCCCGCGTGCAACACCTAGAAGTAGATCAAACATATATAAACATTTTGTTTATCAGATACAATTACAACATCACCCAACAAATTCTGTGTCAGTTCTGATATTGGTAATCAAACTAATTAGCATTTGACAGTAAAAAACAAAAATTCAAAAACAAAGAAAATGGAGTCCATTTTAGAGTATTGTTCTTGCTTCTGTACATGTTGGAATCACTTAACCTTGGAGCAAGAGCCTCCCACCAATTTCAGAGGGTAAATCAAAATCACCGGTAAGAGAGTAGCTCCAGTTATATGGTCAATGTTTCACATCCAGATTACATGGTAGAACAAAAATGGGTTTGATAATAGCATAAAATGAAAAAACACAAAATGCAGAAGGGAAAAGACTAACCAAAGCCATTGGGTCAACGATAATTGTCCAATCTTCGAAGCCTAGCCGTTGCACAGAGAGAGAGGGAGCTAAGGTGAAATGTATATGATGGGTAGGGTTTGTGGAGGGAAATATATGTGCGGTGGTGATGTATTGGTTAGGGTTTATAAATTTTTGGATTTTATAAAATAAAATATAATAGAAAAAGAAAAAGGTGCTTTCCGAATATGCGAAGTCGTGTGATAGTAGGAAGAATTAAAAAAGGCGGAATGAAATGAAATATCTTCTTTCGGAAAATAATAATAATAATAATAATAATAATAATAATAATTAATAAATAAATATTTTCATTTTTTTTTGGGGCTAAATATTTAAGTGCTCAAATCAAAGTATTGAATACATTGGTCAATTTAGTAACTGTGTTAAAAATGGCTAATTTAGTTCAGATGCTTTTAATTATGCAAATTTAGTTTAGGAATTTTTAGTTTGATTAATTTAGTTACTCCGTAGTTAGTTAATTTGATTTACAAGGATGAAAGCGGCCAAATTAAAAACACAGAAATTGAGCTGGTTATATTGGCTTAATAACCCAAATAAACTTTGAACAAGACTAATAAAGTGTTAGTTGGATTGACGTGTGTATGAATTTGGCAAAAATGGTTATAAAAAAAAACTTCAGCAAGAACTTTCGAATGAGGCCTTAGGTGAAGGTTTTAGCATCACTGTTACCTTCCATCAACTTATAAGCAGTTGTCTTTTTATACTTTGTAATCTCTTTGCAATCTCTCTATAGAGGCCATGCTTGATCATATAATTGAATTGAATAGTGGCGAATGAGATTATATCAAGGAATATCTTAAAGAAGAACATGGGTGACTTTTACATTTTTGTTACAAACAGACATGCCAAAATGTCGGCTTAAATTTTCACCCGTATGATGCAGCAGCATCTCAACCAGGCGCAAATATACACAATTTAAAGCCGCATAATGCAGCAGTATCTGTAAACTTGCCTGCCTAGTCTTGATATCCCAATTCAGGAAAACGAAAATCGCTGGTTGGGGGTTCAACCAAGAAAGGTATGGGGCATTGCTTGTTCCGTTAGGTTTGCTGCACCTGGTCCCTATGAAGCAGGTACAAGCCTCAGCGATTCTGTCAGTAGGAAACTCATCTCCTGAACTTTTTGTACTGGTTCAAGCATCACAGAAAAGCAATTGTAGCAAATACTACATTGTGGGCTTTCACAACTCTTGGAATAGTATTTGGTTAGGTATACAGCAGCAAGTAGATCTTCTATGTCCCATACTTTGAGCTGAAGCTGCCTCAAGACATTCCGCTGCACATGCTAAGGAATAACTGCATGCGCTCAAACATCCCAAGTCTTTGCTACCTCCCCAAGGGTCATGAGTGGTGAAAGGCTTTGAAGGATAAATTAAACCTTGATTTGCCTTCATAGATGGATCTTCATACTCCTACTGACAAAGAAGAATATAGTCAAATTCAAGTTTAAAATAATTTTTTACCATATGTGAATGTACAATCAGTATTTATAAACTCAAATACAAAACAATGAAAACACTAATTGATTGATCATTAAGGCACGACATACTTTTTCAGACAAATTATGAATTGATGTGAGGAATAAAGAATGCTTACTTTCATGCGAACCTAAGATTCGTTTGAGCATGACCTAGCAGGATAAGGGTTAAGAACAGTAAGGATTTCAACTGAATCATGTTAAATACATTATGAGAATCAGAAAATTTGAGGTTTCCTTTGAGTTCTGTTTTGAGATAATTCAGAATTATGGGAACATTTTCAATCCTAAGTGAAAATTTGAGCTGAACTGCGCAAAGTTATGGAGGCTCTGATTACATATTATACTTTGTGAGGAGGAAAACAGAATTTACCATGACTGGTCAGCAACAATTTGGACATACAATCTTTAAGCCATAAATATTCTTCATCAACACAAGTGTCTTTCACCCAAATGGAGGAAAAATAGAAACAAGCCCATGTCACTCATAATCTTCAACAGGAGATACCACATCTTTTATATTTATGTAAGAAGAGGAGCAACAACAACAAAATTGTACAAAGAAAGTCAGAAATATTATTCCTCACCTGACTTCAACTAGAAATTGGTCTAACAGTTCTGAAGAGCATTTAGGATAATTTGCAGGGTGGGTGAGCCCGTCTGACTGCACCATATTAAAGGCAAGTAAAAGCACAATATGAATATTTTTCAAACAAGTGACAAAGGGCGTGCGACGTTTCTGCAAAGTAAGAACATTTCAGCATAACCAGTCTATAAATTGGCAACTTTACTCCTTTCCACAAAAAAATCAACACCACCAACCCCCAGGGCACAGTAGCTAAATCGATTGAACTTGTAACAGACATTACACATAAGTGCCAAGACTAGGCCCAAGCAAACAAAAACTTTTGAATTCCAAATCCACATGCTAAGCTCTTAACACTTCACCCTGGCAAGCCTCGAATTCCCAATCATGCAAAGCACCTCGTCTCACATATCAATCAGAAACATTTTCAGCATCAGTAATTCCATGACACCATAAATAAATAAAACATGATTAGTAACCCACACACTTTTATATTGGAAGTGATTCTAAACGTGATGTGTCTGCTGAGCTTTTTGTACTCCCAGGAAGATGGATTGAAGGGCCAAAAACTGCCATTTTCTCTGTCAAGTTCTTCAGGGCCTCATGCTTGTTTGCCAGTGCCATAAGAACCTTGATCCTTCTGAACGAAACATTACTTGGCTTATGCCCCTTTTCCACCATCTGCAAGAAGCATCTTTCTGCTTCCATTAGTTTTCCCAAATCACAAAGCAAATCAAACAGCACATCAGATACCAATATATAAGAACCGAAACCCTTCTCAACCATATCATTCCACAGCTGCAATGCCATATCCACCTTTTCCTGCCTCTTAAACAACCTAATCAGGAACATACAAGACTGTGTATTTGGCAGGCATCCAGTATGCATCATTCTCCCATACAAACCCCATGAGCTTTGCAAGTCATTCGACCAGAAGAAAACCCTAAAGAACAAATTGTACGTAGTTGCATTTGGACTCAAACCCTTACTCATCATTGCATCCATTAACCCATAAGCATCACCAAGCCTCTTCGCAATGCAAAAATTCCTAATGGTAGCATTGTATGCTGCAACATCTGGGTAGCACCCATACTCCTTCATTTCCTTTAATACATCTCTGGCTTTATCTGGCTGACCAACCAACCCCAATCCCCCAATGATACTAGTATAGGTGAACACATCAGGTGATATATTCTTGTCACGCATTTGCTCTACCACCTTATATGCTTTGTCTATTTCTAGACTCTTACAATAAACATCAACCAAACAATTGTATGAAACGATATCAGGCTCCACACCCATCTCCCTCATCTCCTTAAAGAACCCCTCAGCTTCCTCAGACGACTTCCACCCAGATAACAATATATTGAAAGTTTGCAAATTAGGCGTAAAATTATGTTTCAGACTATGATACACATTCCTAGCATCTGTCATACTCTTCTCCTGACAAAGAGTCCTCAACAGAGAATTGAAACAAGTTGTATCGAATTCGGGCACAAGCTTCTTGAACTTTCTAAAAGACTCCACAGTTTGCCTAACCGAACAAACCTTAGCAATCCTAGCTAAAACAATCATCACAGTCCGTGGGGTTATCAAATTTCTATCTTTATACTTAATGTCAACTAAGACCTCCCAAGTTTTGTCAAACATTCGACTTCTTCCTAATATATAAAGCATAGTATCCAGCGAGAAAGAACTGTGATAAAACCCTCTTCTATTCCCAGTATAATTGAAAAACTCCAAAGCTTGTAAAGGGTTTGCATGGCTGAACCTAACCCGTTTTAGAACCTTATCAATCAAATCATTTGAGAGAAAAACCCCACTTGATTTCAATGCTTGCTTCAAGTTTCTAGACTGGTTCGAGCAACTGACTATGCGAAAAACAGTCTCAACGTCATCGTTAATGGAGCTTCCAGAGCAGAGTAACCGAGAGAGAAACAAAGCTGGGTTTTGCGAAACGTACCTGAACAATGGTGATTGGGATGAGAGAGGCTTCACTGTTATTGCCATCATCTTCCTTGAAATGGCGTCGATTAACCCATGAAGAAATTGAAGCTCTATTTTACAATTCAAAGGCAAAATGGCACTGAACTCTTGAGCTAAGCAATGCTCTATGTATGTTGAAGCTTGAAAAAGGAAGAGGAAGAATCGAAGAAAAAGAAAAGTTTGATTGGTCGAAAATGGCAAAAATGAGAAAATTAGAAGTCAGAGAAGATTGAACTGAAGAAGAGAAGTGGAGAGTGAGAGAAGTTCTAAACCCTGCGGTAGTTGGTGCCTGGGCTGGGCTTTAGGTCTTTTTTATTTAATTAAGTTGGGCTGTGCTTTAGTTATATCCCAAAAAAATTGACATTTAAGCCAAGGCTTTTTAAGCGAATTTAGGATTTTTATTTTTATTTTTTTGGTAAGACCATCTCCAACCCATGAGGGGCTAAACCCAAATTTTCCCCCTCCAAAAAGTGATTATTTGGGTTTTGCCCGGACTCAAATCGTTTTTTCTCCCAACCCTCCGAACCCAAATTTTAAGTCCGCAACTTTATTAAATTGTTTAAAAATGGTTTAAGTCTAATTTTTTATTTATTTTATGGATAACTTTTCTTCATTCAATCTTTTTAAATAACATCATAATTTAATTCTTTGAACAATTTAACCTAAAAAAAATTGAAATTCCATAAATTTAATTTTATTCCAAAAGTAAACACACGACATAAAAAAAACACACAATTAAGTTAAAATTATGGGGTTGGATCTAATTTGGATTAATTTAAAATATTATTTTAATCGTTGGATTTAAATTTCAACCGTTGGATCTTTTTTTTACCATTAAAATAGCTTAGATTTAATCTCCATCGTTGATTTAAGTTATATGTATTTTTTTTTTTTTAAAAAAAACAACAAACATCAATTATTCAAATGTTGTCGTTGGATTCCAACGGCAACTTCATGGGGAGTTGGCAAGTGGCGGAAAGAGAAGGGAAAAGGCAGCTGCAAAAAAGGAGGTGGGGCCTAAGTCAGCATCTTTGCACATGGGGGCTGTT